TCTCTCTCTCTCTCTCTCTCTCTCTCTCTCTCTCTCTTCTTCTCTCTCTCTCTCGGATGGTTTGGACACACGTGTCTCACGCGCCGCTGGTACAGCGACTCACATCTGGTCGGTGTTTCCTGCCGGCCACAGCATCCTCTGTGCAATGTGATTTATTTTCAAGTATATGATCCCAGAGATTCGCCACGACGAGAGATCATCGCGGGGCGGCCCGAGTGGATAGTCAAAGGCAACGTGAATATACAACGCGGTTACGAAAATAAAGCAACACGGATTAGGGATCGGTACAACCGCGGCGTGAAGTCGTAGCGTGCAATAAAGAGTCATTAGACCTTTCTGCACACGCCGGCATTAGGAAAAAAGCATTTGATAATGGAAAGTGAGCCAACCTTTACGCTAAATCGAATTAAATCGAATTTAATAATAAAAAAAAAAAAAGAAATTTACGTACATACGTGAATTTAAAATAATAACAATTATACTATCAACATATTAAATGATTTTAGAATTGATGCTAAAATTGATAAAAGAAATTTTAAGATTTCTTAAGAAGCCCATATTCGAAAGATAATATTCTTCGTTAGTAAGAAGGAGCTTTGTCAATAATTTTCAGTCACAGCGATCGCGTAGCGTTACAAAGCCACGTCTACTCCAACGTCATCGTCGGCGCTTCCAATCGAGGCCGCTGGCAACGAGAGTGCATAGTCTCCGTGGTACGGATTCTCCGAAGTTCCTTTCTTTCATCGCCAAACGTTATTCTCGGGGCCTCCTATCCCCCGCTTCCCCCCCCCTCCTCCCCTCCGCCCCTCCGTTCCTCGCTGGCCATCGGGAGCGTGTAAAGAGGAGGACGAAGGAAGGGAGAAACCAGGTAAAGAGCATTCTCTCTACGCGAGTATAAGGCCAGTTTTGAAATGCTCGGCAATATAGTGAGTTCGTTATGAGGCTCGCCCCGACGTGGTATGGCTCATAATTGTAGACTCGGGGCTCGAAGCATGCACCTCCGGGCACTACGTTCTCCCCCGACTGACACCTATTGTCCGGAGAAAATCCCGCGGATCCGCCCGAAAACCGTCCCGATCGCCGGCCGACCGGCGCAGGAGGGTCGTCTAATCGTCGCGCGGGCCCGGCGCCGATTTTCGCGGCCCGCCGCGACACGAATCGCGCGCCCGCGGCTTCTTGCCGGAGGCGAATCGCGCGGAAGAAAGGCAGGGCGGACGCGGACAAAACATTTCATGGCCGAGGCATGAAAATTATTAGCCCGAGAATGTCTTAATCCCCGGCAGCGAGCCCGGTCCCGCGGTCTTCAGCTTTAACATAAAACCTTTTTTTCCCCGGCCGGGACTCACCGAGAGAAACCGATGCTCCGGACGCGAGCTGACGGTCTCGCGAAGATGCTGGCTAAGTGCTGGAACGCGGCGCAGTTCGGGGCGCATAATGTATGTGCTACGTGCTCGAAACGGCACCCCGTTTATTTCCAGGTTAACGCACGGTTTAAAAGTATACGGCCGCGATGCGCGCTTTTTCCTCCGCGAAGATCGAGATACCGGGCTATCGTATATTTTTACGTGTTTCTATCGTCGCTTTAGAAAGCGAATGCGCCTGACACTTTTTGCCGGGATGTCCGCGATCGAAGAGAAGAGATTTGCAAAATAGCGCGCGCGCAAAAATTGACGGTGGATGTTTTGATGATAAAAAAAGAGAGAACATAAGAATGTTTTTTTTTTCGCGGTAGAAAGTTAGAAACAGGCATCATATATTTCATCGAAAGAATAATTAACGTCATAAGTAGTTTCACAATTTGGGTTTCAACTCGAGATAAAATTTTTGGCTTTGAAAGAACGTCGTTTTCTTTTTTTTTTTTTCAAATTGTTACGAAAATGCACATATCAATGAAATATAAATCTTTCAAACCTAAAGTAACACATGGAATATGTATAGTATTTTTGATAGGAATGAGTATCTTTTGGATTTACTCAGACATCATTAGAGTAGAAGTCTCAAGTTATTCCCAGGCTGTCCTGAGTTATTTATCTGTCTGCACGGCAAGGGTGAATCTTACATCCTCCTCCTCTTTCGACCACGTCTTAATAGTACGGGCCACAGAGTTAATAAACCGACATAACGACAATTCCCTCGGTACATCCAGCTTCCCTCAATTTTTCACTGAAAGATCAATTCTTTTCAAATCTCGTTCTTTTCAGAACAAAAAAGTGTAATGAAACACATTACATATACGTTTCTAAATCCAAAATAAAAAAATAAAAACTTTACATAAAATCCATGTCAAAATTGTAAAAGAGAGCAAAAATCGAGACGTTTATCTAGATGTATACTTCGAACAACAGGAAAATAGAAGAGAGACTTTCTCGTAACTAACATTTCTGATTATTCGTTTTCGAAAGAAACTTTTCCGACGTAGGAAGTTTTGACGTTGGAAAAATGGGAAAAACCGGCAAGAGGACTTAATACAAGCTGGGTCGGCTAGGTCGGCGGAAAACCGCGAAGTGCATAAATTCAAAGTAGATTAATATTGTCTCCGTGGCTGTCGCGGCGCCAAACTTATGGCGCTAATTCGACGGAGGAATTATTACTCGGGGCTTGCCTCGAGTCATCCCCGCTGGCACTCGCGTGTTTTGCGAAAAGGGGGCATCTTGTCTTTAATAGAAGCCGTACGTGCCTCACAAGATTCCAAGAGACGCGTTAATATTTGAACCTCGAAACGTCCCGCTAAGAATTGCTCCAATTTGACATTGTCTGCATTAAACTGCAAACATCTGGATTTGCATCTGTAACGTAATTATGCAATTTACGAAAAGAAATGCGAAATTTTCAATTATTATATATACTTATCGCGTAAAATTAATATTCCAAATTGTGGAAATTTGACCATAATATAAAGTCAAAATTGCTTCGTACTTAGTACGAAGGAAACCTGAGTCAAGCGCTATCAACAGTGCAGCAAAAAAAAAAGGGCTTTCCGGAGGTCTTTTAAGTAAATTAAGGGCGTTTCGCATTGTCTTTCTTCTCGAAGGCCCGAGGAAGACGACAGATTACAGCTGTTTAACATCCTCGATGAAAAACTTGCCGGTAATTATTCAAATTATTTTCAAGGGCCACGCTTTTCGGTAGACCGGAGTTACGCGGCGAAATGTCTTTATATCGTCCCTTTCTACCGGCTACGGAAAGGATGCAGCGGATCCTGCCGACGCTCATAAAATACAAACAAAACATTCAACAACCGCAAGGGGTCTCTTACACGTTCCAGATCGAGGCGAGAGCATCCTTAATCTAAATTATATCTTACATTGAATGTTAAAACGTGGAGGAAATTATATTTAATTTTTTTCTTTTCACCGTTGCACGAGATATCGACGTAAAACAACGCAAATGTAATTTCGGATATCTATCATCGCGGCATGATAGCGCGAACGTGACGCCGATATAAACGTGAAGAATAAAAGGGGAAAAAGGATAGAGAAAGGAAGACTGTAGAGACGATAGAAAGGGGAGGTGAAGATTAGGCGGAGGAGAGACGCTTTTTAGATGGTCACTGACACTGCGGACGTGTTGTGTGAGAAGTGACTGATGAGTTTTCCGCTCGATTGGATAACGGGCTAGGCTAACACTCGCCCGTTTCTGGATTTTTTCCAACCCCTTCCCTGCAACATAATGACGTTTGACCTAAATCCCGGCCAGATCCGACAGAGCGCTGAATGCTACGCGATCTCCATACATTAAACTTTCATATCAATTTAATATGCATGTAACGACATAAAGAATTTATTCTTCTTATAATTATAATTATTATTACCGTAAATAATTACAATGTATTATAATACTTAAAGTTCTAAGTTTTTTTTTTTTTTTTTAATTTCAAAAATATCAAGTTTAAGCGCCATGCATTTCTACTTTATAATTAAATAAATTTTTAAATTAATTATTATTATTAAC